CACCTCCGTCCGTTTCTTCTCTCGAGTGCGCCTACTCGCGCGTAACATGTCCCTTTTTTTCCGCCTCACCTCGTCGTTCTTCTCTTTTTCGTTGCTCGCAGCAGCCTTCAGGAACAGGACAGCTGCCGGCCACCAATATCACGCACGCGTATATCACCGTTGAGGATTTTCAATTTTAATATTTTCCTACATCGGGCCGCCTTTACGAGCCGCTATATCACAACGGCACTTCTCACCCTCCCCCCGTCCCCCCCCTCATCTTCACTGGAAGGGTGAAGGAAGTCAGGGAGAGAGCCCGCACGTTTCGAGAATGTCTCGTTCTTCGACATGGTCCCGCATGAAAATCGGCAGGAAGGCAATATCGTTCTCCACGATCTATTGTATAGACATTTTTTTATATATCTCGTATATTTCGCGTGATGGAATTTCGATAATTCAACCTGGACGACTTTCGACTGCGAGATAATTCGAAATCTGAGATATGTAAGTTTCACGTGTTTCGTGACGAAGATACAGAACCGAATACACACGAATACATACAAGGCTAATCGGATGGACTAAAATTTCTGAATTTTTCTGGCGATTAGGCTTCTCGACAGTCTAGGTATATTCCATTTTTCTCTTTTTAAGCTTGATCCGAGTTTCAATAGTTCGTAAAAATGCATAAATAATTTATCTTGTTATATTGCTAATTCCTTTATATTATATTATTCCCAAAAATACACTCGTCCATTTCGAACGATCAATTCTAATCAGGGATTATATCCTGAGTGGATCGTTCGTTGTATGAGAGATAGATTCCGGTCGTCTACGTCTACGAAGCCCTGACCGAGGGTAGGATGACCATTGTCGTTGGCCGTCGTGCGCCGGGCGAGGATGCAGGCGCCACACGGTCGGCTTACGGGACTCCCCCGGGGGACGTGGCCACCGTTTTTTGCCGGGATTAAATGCGAGCCGATGCCGCGATAAGCCGTAGAAAAGCAAGGTGGAAGTGGTACCGGTGACAGATTATACCCGTGACTGCGATCCGCTTCGTCGTCAACGCTCCCGGCGCGCCCGTTTTATTTAACGCCGGTTGTGGATTAAAAAAAAAAGGAAAATCGGCAGTTGTGCGGCGGAACCGCAGCGAATTCTTACGATAAGAATGCCGGAGTTTCTCCGTCGGCGAATAAAATAAACCTTAGCCTGCGGACCGCGCGTCCACAAAAACGAATCTTACACTATGATTTTTTACGTTAAAAGCACCATCAGTCAGATCACTCGTTGCACATGTTGTCCGAGAAACGATCCACTCGTCAAAAATTCCAAAGGTTGCACAAAGATAAAGTCACATAGCTTTGCATTAACTTTTGGATAAAATAATATCTCAAATCAATTTTT